TTTTTTATAGTGGGAAAGGAAAAAGAAATAATAAGAAATGAATTTATATTTATAATTGCGTATATACACATATAGAATTACACCCATAGTTAGTGTATTTCTGTGTTTACTTGGTAAATTGGGCTAATGGTTAATATCTGTTTTGTGTTTGTTTTGCTGGGTCTCTGAGCCTTTTTTTGAGATATTTGTGAGTGTGTTCTTTTTTTTTTTTCTGTTTTTACTCTTACTGAGGTTATTGCGCTGTATTGCATTCTTTAACTGGTTGATTTGTTTTTCGCGTTGTGAGTTTTTTCGTAGTTTACTATTTATGCTTCCTAAAGTCTATGATATAATATTTATTTTTTGATTCTGTATTGCTTTTTTTTATATCTTTACACGCATACAGACGTTGTTGTACCTCACTTGATATTATTGACAAGAGTGTCTATGTTACCGTGCCGTGTGTTGTACCTGTTGGCCATTGTGCTCTGTTGTGTGAGTGTGAGTGGAACCACAGAGACTGGCGCTGTTGAAAATGAAATCAGTATAGATCCTAAAAACATTTCTGATTTGGCAGAACTAGCCGTTGAATCGGTCAAAGCGGCGAATGCGACGAGGAATAAGATTTTGCAGTTGAAGGATGAATGTATTGCTGCTGCAAAAAATGCCACTGACTTAACCAGAGAAGCCAAAGAGTTCGTCGCGAAAATTAATAAGTTGGTCAAAGAAGCGGAGAGTAATCCATCTGATGGGGAGGCTGAGAAGAAGAAGGGCGTTGAACTTCTCGAGAAAGTGAAGAGGGCCGCAGCCGTTGCAGAAAATGCTGCACGGTTAACTAAAGAAGCAACAAAACTTCCGATACTTAAATACGGAGAGACGGCTCGGGAACTATTAGTTGATTTTAGGTACTCATATGATAAAATGAAGCCATCGCAGACTACATCAGATGAAAGTGAGAAACTAACACAGTTGGAGAATCTTCACGAAAAGGTAGAAACTGCATTCCCTTACAGAAACGAAACGGCTCTGGCAGAAATCTCGTTAGGTGCCCTCGTCGCCGTAGAAGATGCTCA